TCCTGAATAACAGAAATATTTAATAAATCTCATTCTCCAGTAAAACGTGTGTGCATTTGAAAATAATTAGCAAGGGGGGGGGGGGGGGGCTGGAGTATGGGGGCGGCAGTGACAGTCACTCACCCCGGGCGGCAAATTACATAGTTACGCCACTGCGTAGCAGGTTTTTTCATAAAATAAAAATAAATTATGAGACTGGAATTTCTCATTAGAAGGGTACTTGTTTAATAACAAATCACTCACACGACACAAGAGCCAACTCACATACTAACAGTGGAGTGGGCATTGGGAGCGTGGGAACGTCTGTTGACTTCCCTCTCCCCTGTTGCAAAACTCGCAAAGTCGCAGTTTCATGCCTGGACCTGCCCAGACAGGCCAAACAGGCTCAGTTACCCTTTGGACGTTCGTCTCTCGGCATCGCGATCTCTATATACACCATTCTACCCTACATTTCTCCGTCTCCTTTTACTCTTTTTTTAAACCTCAAATCACCATCAATCAAAATGAACATAGACAAAGGAAAATTATTTCCTCGAAGAAGGAACTGAATGAAATAAAATAACTTTTCCTTTTCTAAAACATTTTAATCATCTCTCAATGTGTGTAATCCAGAGTGTTAGTTATAAGTGTTTAATAAACAAGTTTCTTTTTCAAATACATTTTACTTGTTTATTTCTCTTCTAAGAAATTTATGAAGGAGGGTCATATTTTGTCACGTGATTTTTTTGGGGTTCCGGGACGGAGATAATGTTCCCATAGACGCCCATTGTGAAAACAGATCGGTTTTAAAGCTAAACGGATCTGGTGCATGTCACCCACATCTAGAATATCTGGAAAAGCCTTCCTCCCCCTTCCAGACACTATGGCTTCCAAGCACTTTTAAAAAATAGGACTACATCCTTGAGGCTCGTCCATTTGGCGGGGTGGTACTCAAATCGAAAGCCAAGTTGAGCCAGGGGAAGTGAAAGCGAAGCAACAATGCCGATTCTGAGTAGCCATGCTACTCAGAATCGAGGTGCTAACAGGTGGACTTGACTAAAATGACAAGCTTTTTGTTTTGAAACCAGAAATCGTGGTTATTCGAGTCAACATTTTGTATCTGAAAGTTCATAACGCATTCTGAGACATCAGGCCTGTCCTCTTCATTCTCGCTGTGACCATATTTTTCATTGTCGATGGTGCAACATGCTCCTGGTGAATCGACTTTGTGCCGTTCTCAGACATCCTGCGCCGCAATGAGCCGAACAAGCCAGAAGGAAAGGGTCTTCTGCGTCTTGTTAACTGGTGTGTGAGGTTGAATGATCGAGGAGAAGGCCCAAGCCTGGGGCGTTACATCCTTACAACGGTTGCTGCGACATAAGCTCCCATTCTGTGGGCTGCCATGTTGGAAGTCGACCTTTCTCGAGCAAGCATTTCGATGACCCACAACGGAGGGGTCGGAGGGGACTTTTCTCTTTAGACGCTCGCTCATCTTGATTCGGACTTGGACATTGATTGGAAGTTCATAACTTGCTCACGTGTCTGCTGTATGGTTACTGGGAAAGGGAGAGAATCGAAGATGCCGTCGCGCGATTTCGGTGATTGGCTAAAGCATTTGGGCTTTCATGGCTGCCACGCGAAGTTTCGGAGGAGGGAAAAATATGCGCTAGCTCAAGTTTCAAATTTAAGTTGTTTCCCTTTTAAAGATTATTCTTACGCATGCATATGCAATTCATTTTAAGAAATGCCAGTGACTGAAGGCAAAGTACATTTGGCTACTGGGTGCGTTCTATCGCTCCTTTGTAATTATCTGATTGACGTCGAGTTTCGGAAGGCTTAATTGGCTGAGGCTTCACGTTCTATAAGCCTATTTAGAAGCCTCGACTTAGGATAGGCCTGGGTAATCCGGGCCATAGGCCTAGGGTCTAGGCATAGGGTTAACTAAGGGTGTGGGTCATGTTGGGTCAAATGGTGGGACTATCAAGCACGGCATGTTTAGCCTAACTTAGGACAGAATAATACCATATTGATTGGCCAAACGTAAAGCAATTGTTATGGTAATGTTTCTTGATCCCCGCTGACTTGGTCTCTACTTTCTGGTTGGGATTCCTTGGCCATTTTCCATGATGAAGAACTTCTTACTCACAACGTTTTAAAAAAAATGCAAATGGGCTTAAATTTGAAGGACTGAACTTTCTAGCTGCACATGACTCCATTCAGCTGACTAACCACATGTGCGCTACCCCCTGCCTTTGGGGTTTTCTCTATGTCTAACGATATGTAAATAAATTACAAAAATGAGAAGCAGATTAGTCAAGCTTATGACATTTAACCTTGTGGTCTTGAGATGTTGGCCTGTGGACAACCAGCTCTTGATAGCCCATAAGAAGTAGATAGAAGGCCATGAAGAGATGTAGGGTAGTTGTTGCCAGCATTGATTGGACAGAAAAGGTTTGTGAAGGTTTTGTTAGTGTTGTTCATATCCCTTGGGCCCTTAAGCCATTATTAAGTTCTGCTGTACTTACATCTGGAGGTGAGTTGGGCTTGCCCAACTTGTTTTATTTTGTGCCTGTCTATCATTAGGTCTGGGCCTATATAGGGGTATATATAGGGAAATATTGGGTAATCACTTCAGCTGAGTTTTTGGCAGTCAGGAGGTCCAGCTGTTGTGTTGAGATGAAAAGAATTCATAGTAACATAGTTCCAAAGTACTCAGTTACATAGTCTTAAGTACCTTGACCAAGGCACAAAGTCAAGACTATGAAGTCTCATTCAGGAAACCAGGGCCAACTCAACTTTACCAGAGATGTTGCTTACTGTCAACTCGTTAGTCTTTATATCTTATTAGGTTCTTGAAAATGGTGCTTCAGAAAATGCAAATAAATTGCTCCTCACATATCCTACATTCAATTCAGCAAGTCTGCTGATAGAAGACTGAGGAGTTCATAACACAGACTATGTGAAGCGGACTTCAAAGTTATTGATTGAGTACTTGCTGTCCTTGTGTACTATGCTCAGGATGTGAACAGCCCATTCAATGTGGAGCTGTGTGCCAGCTTCAGATTAAGCCAACTGCATGGAGCAATGCCCAAGCCACACAGGGTTAACAACCTCAAGACCATCTGCAAACTCATCCTATTAAGATGAAATAAGCGTTCCTTACTAATTCATGATTAAGCTGTGAAACACTATTCTTGTATTTAATTTTTGTCTGCAATAACTGGCCCATCTGGCCCAGAGAGTGTCTCATCTGAGAAGGGGTTTGTATATGCAGGATAAATGGCAGAAGGATCAAGCAAAATAAGGAGAGTTGATGAGATGAGACTCATATTATAGGAGGAAGATCTTTACCTATATACATATCTGTCAAGAAGCAGTGATAAATCATTAAATTTAATATTAGTAATTGGCTGCTAGAATTGTGGTTTCTGTCAAGCATGGAACAGACTGTACAAGTGACCTGCATCTTTCAATAGCATTCAGAATTTTGGAAATTCCATGCATGCATATCCCAGTTTTATGAAATAGGAGGGCTTGGAGTAGAAGTCAGAATACTGGCACCTAGAAGTAATTGCAAACCTATATACCTGAAGTGACTGTGAGATTCTAGAGAGGGCACTTTTGCATACTGTCATGGATTTTGGTGTTGGGATTGTGGATTGACCAATGTATTGTCAGTGGGCTTTGAAAACTAGTGGTGTGCCCAGGAACCACAAGGCTTGATATCACTGCAGCATGAGGGACAGCTGCAAGCAGAATCATCCCAGAGTTTCCAGAGATTACTCAGAAGTTGGACCAGCATCATGAGATGGGAGTTGGGAGATGGGAAGTCAATGGAGGGTCTCATTGGGGCTGAGCTTTCAAATGAATTTACTTGCTTCATGGTGCCTCTTTGTTTCATGATAGAAAAGTTATGGAGTTGCATAAGGAGAGCTCAAGTTCCTGATAATAGCTCTAACTCTTGGAGAACCTTGGAATTGGATAAAATACTGGAATCATTTCAAAATATATCTCTTTAATTTTACTGACCCTGGCTTCTGAAATTAAAGATTCCTATAAATTGTGTGAAAGGTATCTATTGGGCCTCAGTTGTAATATGTAAGATTCTTTCTAGGAAAATAAAGTATTTTCTGTTACCTGCATTTTTGAGGTGTATACCAAGAATATAATTTTTCTGTTCCAGTTCAGGGATCTTATGAGTGGGTTGAAATCTGAAAACTATCACTGAACACTGGAAACTACAAAAGGTGGGAGTGTGATAAACTGCTCATGAAGGTGGGTGGTTTTCATGTGAGGGACAAAAGAGCAATTGAGATCCATTCTCCTTATGACTAGGTGTCTTGTCTGTTCTGGAGTGCTTTTTTCCTATTATAATTTGAACCCCATCACATATGAACCTAAAAGAAAAATTCAGACTTTTTTTGCTGATTTTTAACATTGCCATTAACCTTTACATGCTGAGCATTTGCATATTCAAACTAAAGATGTGAGTGGAAAAATGTGAACTTTGCCATATTTGAAGGGCATGGAATCTTCCTTTCTGCACCTATAAAAGGAAGACTCCATGCTGTTTGAAAATGGTTACATTTGCATTTTTCCACTTACCTGCTCTGTTTGAATGTGGAAACATTCAGTGTGTAAAGGTTAATTAATTTTGGCAAGGAGGTTGTGCTGTGAAATGACCATTTCAAATTTTTTTCATCTAACATCACTGTGGTCTCCAGATGAAACATGTTATTTACATATTGGGTAGTGGTCTTCTCTCTTTGGCAAGATTTTAGCGATGCTGAGGATTGAACAGATTGTATAAGTGTCAGTAGAGGAGTGCAAGAAACATCAATCACCACTGAGTTGAAGGTTGAGTAATAGAGGTGGCCATTTATGTAGGGTAAAACCATCTAAGTTCTGACAGTACCTATGTTTGGACCTCAGAAACAGTTCTTCACAGCTTGAAAAAGCATTTTCAAAGGTGACCTTGCAAATGCTTTGTTTTATAACAATTTATTTTATGGTATCTGAGCCTACGTACTGTCTGAACTTAGATGGTTTTACCCTACCTTGCATCCCAGTAGTTTCAGTATGAAACTACCCCATAACTTTTCTATTAATCTAAACAAAAATTTTCCCATGAAGTACTCTCATGTTTATGATTTTAAATAGGAAGGTTTTTCCAGGAAGTTGAATTACAAAAAAAGTATATTTGTGTACTTGGAAGGGTTAAGCATGCAGGTGCCATAGCTATTATAATGTTATATTATTTCACTCATGATTGCTCTGAAGTTGCTGAGAGGACACAACTCTTCAAAATCTGAGGTGCTGTTTAGCTTGAGGAGGAAAAAGTTGAAGAGATGACTATGCTGTGACATCTTCAGGGTGTTCCATAAGTCCCTTGACACTCCCCTTTTTTTCTTGTGAATAATAGTGAAGAATAGTGGCAGCAAAATAAAACTTGCCATTTGAAACAATATTCATACTGACATTTAATAACCTTCATATGAGAAACTGGAGGTCAAGGGGATCAGTATTAGTGCCATCATTTTTTGAACCCAGAATGAGGTGCCAGGTACAATAAGACATTTCATAGAGGATTTTTGCCAAATCAGGCTTGGAAGTCTGCAAAAAAATGTGTCATGTTTTTTCCACTTTGTTGGTACTAATGCACCCAAAAACTCATCGCTAAACGCTCTTCTAGTGTAAAAGGACTTTGGTCACTCATATCTACATAAATCCTAACCATAATTCACCTGAAACGAGAAAAAAATGGGGGGGGGGGTCAAGGGACTTATGGAACACCCTTCCCTCCAGTTGTCAGGTTCCACTTTAGCCTCTGATTGAATTTATAGTATGGTCTAATCATGAGTGATTGAACATAGTTAAGGAGTGAGGCCACTCAAGAGAAGCATATCATTGATGACCAATGTAGCAGCAACAGTATAATGGAACTTACTACTTTACTGGATATACAAGGGAAGAAGTTAATTATGAGATACAAGTGGAATCATTGCACATTGGTTCAAAGTCCCTGCATGGTCTAAACTGCTGGACTGAGAAACCTAGTGTCAGAATATGCAGAGTGGGCAAAAAAAAGTCAGCCCAAGTTTTTGTAGCTGTCACAAAGATAGTGGCCATGCAATTGTCATGTGTCGGGTTTATCTGAAAGCTCTATTGAATCTCAAACTCATGCTGCAAACCATTTTACAACACCTGCAGGAAATCAAAAATTATGCCCAGTTAAAGACAAATAAAATAAATTTTAGTACTGCAACTTTGGTTAATGCGTCTGCTTTACTTCAGTTGCCTGTCATACAAAAATGTCTTGAGAAATTGGAATTAAATTAACAATTAAACAGTTAAAGGCAGACTGACCTTCATCATGCAAACTAATGCTTTATGGGACCTCCATTTTCATCCATCACTGCTTGCAACTGCCACTGTGAGGGCTTTAGAGGTATGAATCATTGATTCTTTCGGTCTCTGTCTCAACACAAGGCTGGCATGCACATGCCATGCCTCAGCACTCAAAATATTCAACCCACATGTGTTTAACTAGTTATAGCATATGATCCCTTGCAGATGCTGTAAAAAAGTTTTTGGCTTTTGCTTGGGATTGAACTAAGCATTTGATACTTCAAACCTTGAAATTACATGACCAATTTAAAATGTTTTAACTGTAGAAAATTCAAAATTTGCCCAGAATTTGCCCTTCCTCTCCACTGCAGTTCATTCTATGATAATTGGGATGTCAGTAGATAGTTTCTGGCTTTTGTCTGAGGATCTGTTGATACACAGGGCTGCTCTCCCTCCACATCACTGTGTGAAATGATTTCTACCAGCACAAAATATCTTGAAGTTATCTCTGTGAATGGTAAGCAGACATATTGGGAATACCCTCTCAGGCATGACTTTGGTACATTTCCTATTTTCTTAGTCATCCTTAATTGGATATTGAGGATGTATCAGAGAATGTTGGCCCTCAGTTTTCCAAGAAGTGGTGAGGGATAGGTGTTCCTTCTCTGCTGGAGTCACACAGCAATGTTTGTCATTGATACCCTTGTTTCATGAGCCAAATGGATTTGGAGGGGCTGCCACATGATATTGCCAACCATCTCATATGCTTCATAGGTATCGGAAATGCCATGCCATGATGGTAGCTTCCTGTTTAATTTTTCCTTTGTCATTCAGTCATGTATGCTCTGGAGTATGGAGTTAGGAGGCTGCCTTAAAAACTGGAAGGAAAGGGATTGTGGGAGGCACACATGAATCACATTGTTTATGAAAATTTATCTGATGTCATGGTGGTAACAGCCTGCTTGGCTTTTCTATGATTTTTTAAGAAGATATGATAATTGATAACTCTCTCTGATTGCTAAAACCCTTCTGTGTACCTCAAACTCTCTTTATTATTTAATATGTTTACTGAGGCCTCTTAGCTAGCTGAATGAATGGCACATGAATAATGAAGCCATGATTCATCTAAGTGTAACTTATGTGTAATATGGAGCCCTAGGAGAGCTAAGTCTAACATAGCCCTTATGGAAGCCACTTAATATTAGTGGAGGAGAGTCTTGCCATTCCCTACCAAAATAGCATGAATCTCTAACTCTACAATTTAAAGACTTTGGATTTAACATGTGCCATCCTGCAATGGAGACTCTCATGGTCAGGGGTGTATTTACAAAAGTAATTGGGATGAAAAGCATGAAGTAAAGTTGCCCAAAGGGGTTGGGATAGTGAGCAAACTCACACCACAAATAACAAGCCACTTTGCTTGGGGAGGGGGGGGACTTAGATGCATGCACCACAGAAGAAAATTGCCCACCCATCCTGACCCCACTACACCCCTGCTCATGATTCTCCCAAAATTCTGGGACACAGAGACTGGAGGCACTCATAGCAGACCAGTATATATAGATGCCTGCAAAGGACCCTAGAAGTACCTACTGGCAACCATGATTTCATGACCATTTGTTGGGGGTGTGTCACAGGTGGATGAATGGTGATCTGGATTGTACATACTTGTAAATAGGCTCTCCTTGTCATGAGTGGAAATTCTGGAGGAGGAGGCAAACGAGGGAGAGAAAACCGGCTAAAAATGGTTGCAGAGAAACCCCCTACCATTCGTGCCCCAGACACTCAGGTGGCACCAATTCCCAAGGTGCAGGTGAGTCAGAATTCCCATGGGACATCTCATAGACCAGTGAGCTGAATCCATTCAGCTGAGAAGATAATGAAATTGCCTTCCCAGCAGTTCAGTATGCCTAATATGCCAATTCCTTTCATTTTTTATATTTAGCCTACCCAAGAGCAGATCCGTCTGGCACAAATGATAGAGGGCCCCAAGAGTTTAGCCAAAGATCTTGAACTAAAGCAGAAGATTCAGGAATTGATAGAACTGACAGGCAAACCCCAGGATGTTGTGGCTGTGGCAATGCATGACTGTGATAACGATGCTGAGAAAGCAGCTGTTGCCCTGCTGGAGGGTGATGGTGAAGAGCAGATGGTGAGTGCTCCAATCAAAACTTTAATGAGCTGCCGAAAAACATTGGATATTGGCTTAATTCGATTTTGTAAAATTTGAATATAGGGCAAGTGGGAGACAACAAACAAGAAGAAAAAGAAACAGACAACAGAAGGAGAAAAGAAGGAAAAGAGTTTGAGAGAAGAGGATGAGAAAGGAGACAGTGGAAGTAGGGAAAGAGATGGAGAGGGAGAAGGAATTGATGAAGGACCCATGGAAGGAAGAGATAGAGGACGGGGCCGATTGCGTGGTCCTCCAAGACTTCGATTTCGTGGCCGTGGTAGGCTGTTCCTATTTTTCACTGTCAGATTTTAAATTTCTATCTCAGACTCTGCATAGTTGCAAGTGTTCATTAAGAAACTCAAAGTAATGGTCTCAGGAAAGTTTTCATGGCAATGGTTTGATTGAATGGAATGGGTGTAAGTGACTTTTCCATTGATTCAGAGGATCATCTTAGCCTTCACAGAAAATATGCTCTCAGGTAGAATGTGATATGGGACAATGAAAATTTTTATACTATAGGTAAACTGAGAGAAAGAGAATGCCTGGTTGACTTAGGCACCATGCATGAGCACGTTCACATTGCACAGTTGTTGTTCTATTGTCCTGTGGGAGGCCTTTGGGATGGGTTACATGCTGCTGTCCCATGGCTGGCACATGCGATAGTTAACATGTTCTACCCTTCCCCCTCCCTCCATGCACCACCCAATTCATGTCACATAGAACACATGTTACACTGCTAGGCATATCCTTGCCACTGCATGGGCTTTATCTTGTGGATCCTAGGTTTTTGTTTTTTTTTTTAAGTTAGAACACACTGATAAATATGTACCTCACTGGAAATCCATAGCTGATCCTGCAATGATCATTCAATATCATTGTTTCCATGGCAAGAAGTGTGCAGTAGGATTTAGTTGTCTCAATACTACTTATGCTATAAGAGCAATTCTTGTTGGTGCATTGATCACAATATCAATATTAGTATATCTTTAGTCAAAGTATAGTTGTGACTGTGATATTGGACATTGACATACTGATATATACTGTAACATTTCTGTTGTTTTAAATAGATACTACAGTAATGTTGGCATCAGGAGTGTTGGATCAGTCCATCTAATGAATCACTATTGAAATGTAGTCATTTTATCACCTTACATGTGTTCCACTTGTGTATGTATAATAATGCCCTTGAAAATGTTAATTCCATCACGTATCAAATGCATACCACATCACATCATACAAATACTCTTGACAGTTAAACTATATGTGCTTACTCTTACTTGAACCGTATCCATGAAGCTTTCATCGACAGATATTACCAGACAGCATAGACAGATATTACCAATGGCTTTTAATATTTTTATTTAACTTTGTCAAAGCCATGCAAGACTATCAGCAAATATTCAGAAAGTGAAATTGAACAGGGGTCTTGGTGCTCTTTAGAATGATGAGACTCCGATCTCCTCCTCCAATGTAATCAAGGGATCAAGGATTTCTGAAGAAATCTGAACCAAATTCTTTCTTGATACCTATTGATATTTCATTAATTGTTAACCCCTTGGGTCAGAGTGGGTTCACAGTGTAATCATCTTTCAAAGTGCATGTAACAGCTCTTGAAAGGTCGTTTCACTCTGAAACCACAATGGTTGCTTGATTGGTACTCTTATCTAATTTCAGAAACAGAAGCAGCTTGGGTTTTATCTTACAGCTGGCTACAGAAATGAAATATATGAATATTAACAAATTATGTTTTAGTAAGTTGTGGCTGAAAAGGTCAAGGAGGCATATGAAAACATCTATAGTGAAAGACCAATCCGAAGAATGAATTTTATTATAAAAGGTGTTTGATATGGCCTTTATTTACTACTACAACATATGTGTTTTCTCCATTCCACTACCAGCACCTTCTCCAGTCCATTTACAATATCCATATTTATGTGATTCTCATATGATTCAAAGACCATATGAAAAATGACTGGCTTGATATTATCTGTATTTTAGTAATCATTGCAATATTCACTTAACAAAACAGTGAGAGGTTTAAAAATATCAGGAGTTTAAAGTTTCTTATAAATCTAGGTTAACTCAAGTATGGTATGGTGTTTATTTTCATCAAATGTTATCCTAGGAATATGTAGCTCACTTAATGCTAATAATTTGAATTTACTAATGAAGAAGGTTCCTTGAAATTAAGGTGGAGGATTCCGACGAGAGGCTCGACCAGGGAGCAAAGAAGGAGGTGGGGAAGAGGAAGCAACACGAGGAGGCATGGGAAGTGAGCGAGGAAGATCCCGTGGAAGACGTGGGGTTATGAATGGCCCTAGGCGAGGTGGAGGGGGAAAGATGTTCCAGGGGCGAGGGGGCTCCAATCCTTCCATGTTTCTGGGCTCCATTGATACCTGGTCTAACAGCCAGGCTGAGGGATTGGATGGCAGCAAGAAGAAATCCACTGGTGATCTCAATATCAGTGAGTTTTTTCTCAGCACATGGAAATTACTTCACACATACACCCACACAAATTTCCACTGTCATGACAGACAAGGAGCTCTCTGAGCCAAAGCTATTCTCTGTAGTTATTGCTCTTACATGCAATGTTGGCATCTAGGATTTGATTTTTCTGTAGTGCAAGCTTTATTAGATAGATTAAGTTGGAATTAGGTTGAATACCTGAGGCTAAGTTTTGCCACTTTGAGACAATCATTCAGTATTTCAACACTGGAATTAGGCCTGCCAGGAATGAAGGGGCTCATTAATTTTTTTTTTTTTTTTTTTTTTTTTGCAACTTGAGGTACCTGGGATGACAGCTTTCCAGCAGCAGAGGACTGGGACAATGAAGAATGGTCAGGATCTTTACGGGAGACAAAAGTGTTCACACCGAGTGTATCTTCCCCAGCACCAGCATCAGCACCATCTGTCACGGATGCAACAACTCCACTGATGACTACAACATCTTCATCATCACCTGCCAGCATCCCACCTCCTCTTGAGTCTCAGCCCAGCAATGGCCAGGTCATCGACTTACAGGCTCTTCTCAGGCAGAAGCCCCAGGAGGTCAGTCTTAGTAACTTCATTTCTTTTTATTGGTAAGAATAGCTTGCACTTGGGTCTCAATCTCTCAAGCAGTTAGCTTTTTTGGCCTGCCCAGAGGATCATTGGTAGGAAAAGAAAGTTTGGCTATGTTCTTGATGAAAGTGAAAAATAGTTTTTTTAAAATGATATTTGTCTTGTATACATGCAGTCCAATCGCTGCTTGGGCAGTGGGGAGATGCTGGAGCGCAATGAGCCCCGTCCGATGACAATGGCGCAACAAGAGTTCCTCTCTCAATTCACCGGCCAAAAGTCGACAAGTTCTTCCAGCACAGGGGACCCACTGAAACCCAGTTCTGTGTACGTGAACAGTTCTGATGTGTATTCCAAGTCCACATCAACAGGCTCGCGAGGTATGAGTGGATATGGCCTAGGGACTGACTCCTCTCGACCTGCCACTCAGGGCAAACCACCCTCTCGACTCTCCAAGCCCAGACAAACCAAGGTCTGTCATACTTTCCTTGCTATTTCTTTTATATATTTGTGATTTGTGATATATATCTATATATATTATGTGATTTGCTTGAATATGTAGATTCCATCATCTGCGGTGGAGATGCCAGATGAGGCTATGGAGCTCCTTGATGTCCAATTTGGAGGCCTGGAATTTGGAACAGAATCTTCAGCATTGGACATCCTTGCCAGTTCAGAGGGCATTACTTTTGTTGGGCCAGATGACCTCATTGGACCCACCTCTTCTCAGGTTTGGATTATGTTTTCATCTTTGCTCATAAGGCCATAATAGTTGTCATGCTGTCAAATACATTGCTGGCCACAGAAATTCATCATCATCACCCTGTGCATGTGTGAGTTGGACTGAATGTTTTGTTGGAATCTTTTTTAAAGGAAACTATAAATTTGGAAAAATTTTACTATAAATTTGGAAAATTTATAGTAAAATTTCCTAAAACTTATTGAAAATAAAATTTATTGAAAGAAAATTTTATCAGAGGAATCCTCCTCTGATAAAATGGAGATACACTTCAAATGGAGATACACTTCAGAGAATGAGGTTTAGTTTGGCCTAGGTGACTCTTTATTCAAATGCTTAGCTTAGTTGCAGGTACACAGTCGGAAGAATCCACAAAATTCATGCTCTGCATAAATGCATGCTATGGCATGTTCCAGGTAGGATAGACCAAAGATGTAGCGTGTGCCTTGGGTGTTACACCATTGTTTCTTCAAGCTTCCACATAAATTGTATAACAGTTGTTGCAGTTTTCTCAACTAGAATGCTGCATTGCACAGTTCAGGATGCAGGACATTAAATTGTCTTGTCTGGGAAGAGGAAAATTTGCTCAATCCCTTTGTCTCAGAGAGAGCATGGAGAGGAGAAGGAGGTCTTTGTTGGGGTTGATCTGTGACAGCCAACCTGGCTATCACCTGATATGTTAATTTCCTCAATTCTGGATTCATTTTATACCTAAAGTATGTCACTCTCCTCCTTTATTCATCACTGGAATGCATTACCACTGATCAAACTAAGCTTGATTCTGCTATGAAAGCTATACCAGGTTGCTGCTGAAAACCTTACAAACAATTGGAAAATTTACTGTAATTTACCCTGTGGTGTGCGACTTTTGTGCCACCCTGTACAGTTGACACTCATAAACTTTAAGGGACAGGTTTGTTATTTAGGAAAATTTGTTTTAAAGAATTCCCAACATTGATCTGGAAAAAAGGAGGCCTCTTAAGAAAATTAATGAAATATTAATTGCCAAAAAAAATGCAGTTTGAAAAAACACAAACACCCAAGTGCATGTCATATTGTAGAAATGCAGCTTCCAAGATGCACATATTTATGTAAATGGGCATGCACTGCAGCATGCCCTTACAAAGGTGTAAAAAAAATCTTACAAGTCACCAATGCTCTCTATTCACAGGAAACAAAGCCCCAAATTGTCAGCTATACTAATTCATGGATAATTCTCTGAGCTGTGATCTGCAGAACTCTTAATGTTTGAAAAGTCTCAGGCTCAACTTTCAGCCTTGAATTAAAAATAACTGAAGATAGTTGAAGGCTTTGATTGCCTGACCAAGCGAAATTCTGTTCTTGGGCTGACTCTCATCCTCAAGATCCTGAGAAGATTAAGACTGACTGGTATTGCTCCTTACTCCCCATGGCCACAGCAATAAGGGTGTGGAACATGCTAAATTTAGATTAGATTTTCCAGGAATGCATGAAAGAAAGTGGCTCTTACATGCATCACAGATTTAAGCTTCATAATATAGAACAGTTTTGTTCTTTTGGACAAAAAGATGGAAACCAAACAATTTGGTAGATAGAACTTCGTTATAGGAAAACTTTTTCAACATGTATGTGAATGGGCAAATGATTGAGAATTGGAAAAATATTTGTAGATGACATAGGGTGATTACAATGATGGGTGTGACCTGTGTGGAGATCTAGCCTCATCTTGAACTGTACAGGAGTTGCAGTAGCCACCTCAGTTAGTGTGGGATGGCTGAGAGTTGGACTGCAATATCTGATTTTGCTTGTTACTGGTTTGTTAATGGTCTGCTGATGGGAATTCTATAACTATTTGATAACTGATATTGCTAAATCCTGTGAACCCAATTTTTTTTTTTAATATGCTCTCCATAATAAACAGGTCTAGGCCAAGTATCACATTTGGCCTGGCCTAGTCCCACATTTCATTATTGGATCTAATAATCTCATCTTTTCCCATTCCCTTTATCTGTTCATATGAATATAGTGAATAAATAAATAGCAAAATATTTAAAATTCAGTGCACACGGATAATGAAAGCCGATATCCATTGAAAACAAAATACCTATGAAATATTATTGCAGCTCTAGACCTTCACTTGTTGAAACTTGGATGTTCAATATCAATGATATGCTCCTTCTCTTTAACTGAGGTTGAAATTCAGTATTAACAGATTTGAAGCCGACAGTCAGTTTATTAGAAGCTTTCAAGGATAAAGACTAGCATCAATATTTGTGAATTCTCATTTCAAGTGATTTCAAGTTGAGCCAATGCTGATTCATAAATATGAGCTGATTCTTTTCATTATCAGGTTTCTGATGGGTTGACATTTGGGACAGGGAAGAGTAAGAGTCCTGGGAGTGGGCCAGGGGAAGAAATGAAAGGGATGACATCATCATATGGTGGAAAGCCCCCTTCTGCCACAATTGTGACCTGTGCACCCCAACCCTCTTCCCAGCCCCCTTCTTCTCACTATCAAGATTCTATGACTCCATCCTCCTACCCAACTTCTCAGGTTTGACTTTACAATTCATAAGCTTTTCTCTCCTTCAGTATTTCAGGAAACAAAGTTTGTCTTCCTTTCCTGATAAAAGCTGAAAGTAATTTTGATGAAGACTATTATTGCATTTGCCTACCTGTAATGACTTAACATAAATCATTAATTTCATTCAATGGTTCATTGACTTGAATGTTATTCAGGCTTATTGCGTATGCAATGTTTTGGCATTGATACGAATTTGAATATTTACTTTGGCACATCTTGATTTTGAACAACTTCTTTCACTTCCTTCTTTACTCCCTGAATTGGTTGTTCTCCATGGGTTTTCACCTTCACCTGAATTTGTCCTGACCATTTTGGTGGATGATTGCAGGGTTCAATAGCACAGTATGAAGGTGTGACATCGGGCTACCAAGTTCAGGTCACAGAGACTTCTCCAGGGAGTGGGTCATATAGCCAGGCCAGTGGGAATCCATCCTACACATCTGGTCCATATGGGATCTATGGAGATGGAGCAGGAAACTCTTATGTGTCTGGGAATGGGACAGCCTCATACAAACTGGGCAGTGGACGACAGGAACGAAGTGGCTCAAACACATCTGTCACGTCTAGTCAGCCCCTCCATTCCGCCACCTCTGTTTCCAAGAAGAAGATTGAGTCCTTGGCCAATCAGGTTTGTGTCTTCTGGTTTAAGGCAGTGGCTCATTTCTTGCATGCATCTTATTGCAGGAGTCATTAACCTATTCCCCGCTCCTAATGTATTATAACTAGAGATGCCATGATATTGAATTTTAGCTGATATCCGATATCCTGATAATTCCGATATTGGAAAAGAACCAACACCAATATCTATATCTACATTTATATTCACACATTCAGGCATTAACTCCTCCACTGTTAAGTCTGATTTGGGACCAGGTCTGATGGTGAAAGCTTGAGGTGCACCAGTGGTGCACCTCATGCTTTTGCCATTTCTCCAGTGGTGAGAAGAAGTGTTTTGTTCATGTTGAAGCCAGGCTCTTCAATGTGGATATTAATGTAGATGTTGATATTACATTGGATTTACATCAGGCATTTTCTTTACTATGTTCCTTCATAGAATTTGCAAGAAGGTGGAACAGGAGTTACCTTTTTTTTTTTTTTCAAAAGTAGCACTGTTGAGAAAATGTAAAGAATGTCTAGGTTCCCTCTTTCTAACTTCCAATGGACACCCAGAGGGACATGACTGACAGATTGTTAACACATCAGATAATTTGCCATGCAGATGAAGTGTGTAAAATAACTGCTTTTCAGGAAAATTTCTGAGGTGATTAATTATATTTATTATAATTACAGAAGTATTTTATATACAAAGATATTTATGTAATACATTATATTATAAATATTATTATAAATATAAATTATGACATAAATATTTAAAATAAATTAGAGCTGCACCGATGTATTGACAACTGCAGAGATTGGCCTCTGGTGTTGCACCATTGAGGCCATGGCCATTGGTAGGGTTGCAAGCTGCCAATGCTGAAGCCTGAAGGAGGGAAAAATATTTAAAAAAAACTATGAGTGTGTTAACACTGACCCTCCTGTCTTGCTGAAAGCTTTCCATGCCACCCTCTCCTAGAAAAAAAAAAAGTTTGGGCTGATATATCGGATTCACCCAATATTTGCGGATACTGATAACTGATAAAATATCGTTGGATCTCTTGTTATAGCATCAAGGCTTCCCTCTATATATTTGTTCATTATTAAGATTTTATTTTGGAAGTTCCCAGAGTGTGATTTTCATTAAATGAATAGCTCAAGCATCTTTTTGTGAGTGGGAAAAAAACTCATGTTGTTGTTTGGCAGTGATTATCTTCATGTTATGACACCTCTGCCTCTGCCACATCATTGTCCAAGTGGTATCACTTGCCCCTCAGTGTCCTCTTCATTGGGGTACACCAGGTTTCATCACATGCTATGATTCTGGCCAAAAAGCTATCCCCTTTGTCATGGTCACACTGTAGTTGTGTGAGACAGTGTGCACTAGTGCACTTCATTATCGGTTTAACACTCATCAAATGGTACTAGTGGCAATCTTGGACAATTGTGTGTGCAGACCCATGACTAATCCCCACTTCTGTGGATATGGCATCTAGAAATATACATCTGCTTGCTCTAGTCCACCTTTGCTATGTTGTCATCATTGATGATAACATTGGCTTGTCTGGGTTAGGGTTTGTCCTCAATGTGGAGGTGTCCACTGCAAAGCATTTTGCACCATTCATATTCTTCTCATGTACATCTCTCAGACAAACATGTCTCACCACAAACGACAACTATTCTGTGATGGATATCAAGTGGTTTTGTACCTTCTGTGCATAAGACTGAATCACACCCCTCTGATGTGCCTACAATGGAGGTAGCCATTGTTACCAGGTTACAAGATATATTATCTTCTGAAAGCAGTGATGCCAATAACATTTTCAATTATTCTTCATAGTACCTTCATAGTATTTATACTTGATGTCACAAAGATGTGTCATTCATACAATTTTTGCTGCATGTTCTGCTATTTTCAGTTGACTGGCCCTAGTATATGGAACAGGTTTCAGAAAAAATGAAAATAAAAAGGTGGGAAACAGGAATGGATTGGCAGTAAGGAATAAAAATAAATAAAAGGCTGTTAAGATGAAACACCAACACTGTCCTCTATGCATTAAGACACCAACTCCTTTTTTCATGCATCATATATCTGATTGCTTCTTGTTTCCATACATTCTTCCTGCTTCCTGTATCCATATACCCTTCCAGTAGTGCAAGGTAGATTATTAAGAACCATATGAAAAGGGATTGAACAACTGAATAACTTAAAGGCTTTCAAGAGATTCCTAAAAATCCCATTACTACAAGTAGGGCAATGTAGAGATTAGAGCAGGTGGTTTGGCATCCATATATTGGGTGATTATGAAATCATTTCCCATCATATTTTGTGGGGGAGAGTATATGATTAGTACAGTAAAACCTCTGATAGCTTATACTGCCAAAGCTTATAACCTCCAGTACCTTATTGCAGGGTTTGGCCCCAAGCATATAAGCTAAGGCAGGTTTTACTGTATATGCTACCATCAATGGTAAAATAAACAGTTGGTCAACTTTGGGAGAGTGCAAGGTGTTGGAATGAGGAATAGGTTCTTGTCAGAGAGACAAAAATGATTATGACTTCATAGCCTTTCTTCATAAATTATTCAACACCCTAAAGCTAAAAAAATATTGACTATGGAAATATGTTTACAAATTTATTCAACATTTTGTTTGGTTTTTTTTTTTAAGGAAAATTTTCAAGGAAAAAGCTACCTTCATGTCAAGAGTTACAATCTCATACCTCCATCAACCGATTTACCAAGTGATTTTGAGGTGACATGATTTCCAGATAATTTTACTTTTTTGCATGGAAAATTTGGTTTTGAATTACAAATTAGTCATTGTACTAATCCAGTCAATAACACAGGAAGGTTAAAAATGCTGAAAGCTTGAGGCCATTTTTCATCCCTGTGGCAAAATTAAACCTCTTCACCTAAACATTCATTTCTCATTGATAGCTATGATTTTTGCTGTATGGTATTCTCGCCCTATTCCAGCTACATTAAAAATTGAGTTAACACATTTTAACACCAAAATGTTCTGCTTTCCTAGTTATTATTCACATCAGAATTGCTTTCTGCAATAATTTCTGTGATTTCACAGTCCTTCAGTGTTGCCTGTTATCTTTGATAACACTACAAATGTAAACAAGGGTAGAAATCTCCATTCTGAAATAATATTATTTCAGAGGGTGTTATGCCATCTATTGGCAGAATAGTATAACTAAGGTGACCATTTGTCTATGCAGAGTGAGCAAAGAGTATAGGCATGACAAATTTAATTCAAAAATCCTGTTTAAGAAAAATTACAACATGTGTCAAAACCTAATATGTTTGCTTAGAGGAATGTATTAATTTGGATGGTTTTGCATAGACTTCTTGCACACTTGTGGTGGAATGATCCTCCTGTAAATTGTGCAAGAGGAGATTTTATGGTACCAACAAAGGTACAGACTAAAGCTTATTACTCTTTCTGACGCATAATTTTTGAGTGGTGATGGTTTTGAACAATGTCTACAGGAACAATGTCAATGTTGACTCTCTGCTTGGAGACCGCATACCCATGTACAGGATATGCATAAATTGTATTACATCATTGATAACAAGGAAAGTTACAATGTGAGAATGAAGCAAATGTGACTGGTGTAGAATTTTTTCAATGAAAATTTTGCATTTTACAGCATTCATTTTCAAATGTTGGCTGGAAATCAACTGTGGAAAGTGAGATTCATTATAAATATTGTTACACAGTATGACAGTGGGGCTGTGAGTGCAGCTAATGGGACAGATCTGAGTTCTCTTCCACCGGTGACCTCTTATGGAGTTGTGAACATGGGAATGCCATCATCTACAGCTGGTGGGTCCCCAGTCCTTGTCATTAGATTTGTACTTGCCCTATCTCAAGTTTTTGAAAGAAGTGGTCATAAGGGAATGCATATATCAGGTGCAAGCAAGACTGGGATGACAACAGCAACATATGGGACCACCCCTGATGGAAGCTCAGTCCCGCTTTTGGGTCCATCATACATCATGAGTGGAGCCCCCTTCCATTATGGCATTCATCAACCTCTGCTCAGCTTTCAAGATATGCAGTTGCTTCAATCCAGGATACCACAAATGGTATTGATTCTAACTTTCCAACTCTGGCTTAAAGCCAGCTGGCTTAAGATATACTTAATCAGGATATATCAGTATAGCTTAGCTGTGAAGAGTTTGATGTAGCATGAATTGCATAGATTCCATGGTTAGGGAATATATCATTTTACTGTCTCTTGCAAGTATGGTACATTGCATGTTTAGCCTTTGAAATCTATTGGGAAGTTTCTTTTCTGTCTCACCTATAAAATGTCCTTAATTGAGAGCCTGGTGGAAACCCTTAAAATATTATTGGCCTGCATCATATGGTGGCAACAATTCTGACTTTCTATTTTTGAAAAAGTGCACCTGGAGGTTCAGGCCCTAATGCTGAAACCTCCTTTAGTGAACAAACCATGGACTCCTATGAGGAAAAAGAACTCTTTAGAAGGCCACTTTGTCACCCCTAAATGAGGTTTGTGCATTCAGGCCTAAGTCTCTATCCAGTCTAGACAAAAAAGTTCATGAACATGTGGCTTTTACAATAGTGGAGGAATTTGCAAGATTTTGTAGTGCCATATATCATCTTTTAAACATATTGTTCCTCGTTTAAACATATTGCTGAGTTTGGGATGCAGAAGTCCTTGTACACCCTGATGGGCAGAATAGGATCAAACAGTAGCTTTCAATTTGCACTTCCATGCCAAGAGTCTAGGCTCATTTGTATCAATGTCTATAATGATTCATATAATGTAAGATTGCCTTGGGCCTCATTAACCCTGCAGGTGTCTAAAGGCCTGTCTATGGTCTCTCAGATCAGTTAGCAGCTTGATGACAGTACTACAGTAGCTCACAGTGGAAGTTGAGTCACATTTAGCAAAAAAGTCCATCCAAGCTGTCATAATACTTTTGAATTGCCCCTGCAATACAGTGCTCAATGGCATTGCATGCAGGGAGACCCATAGACAGCTGATAACTTCACCTGTCTGGGTTGGGTTTTGGGTGTCATTTATGCCCCAGGGGATGGCACCAGTAACATTGATATGGGAAACAATGACCATGTCCTGCATCTTAATGGGTGGGCCTTGACTTTCAGCAAGGTAGTGTGTACCTAGAGATACATCACTGGAATAAGGGATTCTTGCTGTCCTTTATTTACATTAGTATTGAATCAAATTATGCTGTTGCAGGTGCCATTCATTCCTAAGTGGCAGCAACCTTGTATTGCCTAAACAAAAAAGGGATTATTTTAATATGCAACAGAGTAGCTATAATCATGGCTCTTGTCTTCAGTCAGTTGCATCCTAGTTTATTTCTTGACATTCACTGTGAGTGACTGTTGCATTTCAACCATGCAGCAGCAGGCACCACCTAGTCACACAAGAAGCAGTGAGTTGAAATACCCATCAACGACAATGTCAACTGGAGTGGGGCCACGGGGATTGGATGCAACGGGTAGCCCGGGTCATCTGGCCACGTCTCAGCAGACGGCAGCTGTTGTGAGCCAAGCCGCAACGTCTCACACAGCAGCTGGGTCTTTCTTGCCCTCGACGGCAACTGCCCCTGCGACGGCCTTCCCCGCAGCTCAATATGCATACATCTACCATGGGGGACTTGTCCCTGGCACATTCCCTCAGTATCATCAGACTCCGCCAACTGCCCCTGCTGCTGCTATCTACCCTGTCCCTTCGGCAGCCAGTGCTGCTCACGGCATGACTGCAGCCGCACCGCTGGCCAAAGCCAATGCATATGGACAGGCCAACTTCTCTGGTTCCTCATATGATCATCTGGCTGCTGTGACTTCGCCTGATGGCAGCGATTATACGTGAGTTGATTTTTCGGTGGCTTGCATGACCAGCATTCTCTGGTTGTGGATGTTACTGTACATGTAAGGTTCCTGACTGAATTGAATTGTGTCAAATTTTTTGTGGATGTTGCCATATGTGTGAGATTTCCTACATTGTTTGATTGTGCTGCAAGTTAAACTTGTTCTCTGTATTATATGAGCAAAAATTAATTGTAAGTGCTTGAAACAGGAAGGGATATGGGAGTAGCAGTGGATTGGGGAGCAAACCCAATTCCTCTGGTGGATCCCCAACAGACATCTCATCCATGTATCACAAAAAAGTCTCCAATGTGAGTCTTCAGCTTTTTCCTTTTTTGAATGTTCTCATGAAGGCACCAATAATTCAGGTTCTACATTACTTAGGTAAAGATTAGTTCTGAAATCTAATTTTGCTTCTCTGGCATTAATGCAGAGCACTATAATATCAGTCTATGCTATAAATAGAATCGAAACCTTTGTATTAACATTAACCCTGTGACTGACTAATCCATGAGGTTAGATGAGTTCATTACAACCATTAACTTTTTTTTTCTGCATTTGTGCCACTATTCATCCTCTTCAAGCAGGCTGAGCCTGCTTTCTTAAATGGCTTGAAGTGAATGCATACTCATACTACAGGGTGTCCCAGACACCCCTCCCCAAGTTTTGTACATTATTATGTCTTTACTTTTTTTCTGACAGAAGTGAGTTTTGTATAATTCAAAAGCTTAGACCTTTATTAACGACTGCTGTTAAACCTGATGGTTTGTGATTACTGGTCGTGGAGTTTTTTGAAGAAGGTGTATGCTACAAAACCTCTAACATCCCTGACCTCATCAGCACCATTCACTTAGCCTTAGTCTCCATCCAAACTGGGGGCTGGGTTTCTGTGACGATTAACCCTTCAAGCAGTTTTCACGTACACTGTATGATCGTCACTAAGGAGGTCAGGTCAAAACTCAACGCTTGAAGGGTTAAAAACAGGGATTCAATCTTTTTGCCACTGAAATCAGTTCCCATTCTGAGGGAAAGTCATTCACTGCTTTCTGGCACATGTCCAAGCTAATGGCATTCAGTTTGGTTGGAAATGGCATTGATGAGGTCAGGGATGTTAGGGGTTTAGGTAGCATACACATTCTCCTTCAAAAACCCCACAACCAGTAATCACAAACTGTCAAGTTTAACAGCAGTTGTTAAAAAAGGTCTAGGTTTTCGAATGATACAAAACTCTCTTCCTTCAGAAAAAAAATAAAGACATGTAAAAAGCTCGGGGTGGGGTTTCTGGGACACCCTGTATATATTAGTGTATTACTATCCCACTTGCGCTTGAAAGATTATCAAATTTTTTACATTTGCTAGGCAGATTTTTATGTGCAAGTATTTGCTGATAGGAATTTTGCTGAAATAATGATTTTTTTAGAAATTAAAAAGTTTGTTCTACCAATTCTGGTGTAAATGCTGCTTATGTTGGATGACTTTTGGAAAATTTTAGAAATTTCAGTTGATTTGGAATTCTCTCATTCTATGACCCAACTTCAGTCTAAATTGAAAGCATCCATTCTCGTTCCTCTTGGGCAGTCGTACGAGAAGTACACTTCAGGTGGAGGTGGGTCTGCATACGCGAGTGCTGCAGCAGCTGCGTACCCGGCACAGATGTTCATCCCAACGCTGCATGGTCCCCACCAGCAGCACTCTCCACTTCAGATTCATCCTGGGCTTCACCAGGAGGCCCAAGGGAGTGGTCATGGCCACCATCGCTCTGCAGGTGCCCCACCCAACAAGCCCTGGAGCAAGGGTACCAACAACTACTGGTCTTGAGATCATCACATCGCCACCATGTGAACTTTCATCTTCCCCCTTGGGGGTCCTATTTCCTTCATCTGGCTCCCCCCCAACCCCCCAGCCTCTCATCTCTCTCTCTCTCTCTCTCTCTCTGCCCCCAGTGTGTACATATATTATACATACAGTAGCCTACATTCTATGTCTGCTGCTACAACGTGCCACACACGACTCACCCTCAGCACACTTGGTTTTTCCTTTTTTGTCTTTTCTCTTTGTGATGATGTCAATGCTGATGATAATGGTGACCCTTTTTAGAAAAGGGAAAAAATGGGCTTTTCTTCCTCAGTCCTTGCATCCGGATCCTACACACCGGGCATTAAGACGATGCTTTATCTCCCGCATGATTGTACAGAGACCCCCTTGTGTGATTCTTCTCCTTTTTCCATGGTCATTGTTGTAACTTATTTTTTTGTGATGCGTGCCGAAGTGCACAGCCACAAAACACAGCACTCCTCTGTGCTATTTTTCTAATGGAGATTCGGGAATGAGATGGAATCACGCGCGTTCATACATACACACACACAGGGAAGCTGATATCGTTACTGACCGTGCTGTACATTTTCAGTATTTTTTTGTTCCGTTTTTTTTCATCATGCAGGTATTTTTAATGTCTCTGTAGTGAATACCAGTTTTCTCTGTTCTCAGGCTGCTTCCTCCTCTCCTTTCCTGCTAGGAAATTTTGTTCTCTTCCAATACAGAGGAGAAGTAAGAGGAAGGAGGTCAAGTATCATTGCCTTGAAAATTTATTGGGAATTTATGGGAAGGAAAGAGAGACTGAGTTTGAGAGAGAGGAAACTTGAATGATTTGAGATTTTTTCCGTATTCATAAAGAGGATTATCAAATGGGCTTCTTGTCTTCATATTTCTTTTTGTTAGTTGAGGGTTTCTCCAATTCCACCTCGCAAGGTGACATGGTCGTAAAAACCATTGAAGTCATTTGGAGTTATAATGATATCAATGGAAAAAGAGGCCCCATGGAAGGTCTGGCGTCTGGTTAATCTGTTATCAGTATGATTTTGCTTGCCAATGACTCTACTGGGAAAGACGGAAGCTGAAGATTTGAAATCCTTTTACAGGATGCCCTAACGGAAGATTTCACGAACGCAAGAACCTCGAAAGTGTCGAAAAGACAAAAATGGACAGACGCTGGGGAAAAAGTGCATTAGGGTATAGTTTATCTCTTCTTGAGGATAGGGCGACACGACTAGGGCGACTAGGGCTCCTCTATTCCTCTAAGCTTACAAGTTCACAAACCTACATGTAATACAGTGGCGTAGCAACCGCCCAAGCAGCCCCCCCAGTTGAGGGGGGGGCCCAAAATTTTCATAAAACATGTGAAATATTCCCCAATATAAACAAATCTATACAAAAAGAAAAAAAAATGATAGAAGTAAATGGTCATCACTCATGAGGAGGCCCTGGCTGACTCCAGCCAGGCCCCCCCCCTATCAATACCGTCAGATTATCAACCTATCATAAGCGAACTTTCACTTGCTTACTGATCTTTGGAGAGGGCAACTCCCCCATCGTTAGGCCATAGCATTGCGAGTTAATATGATGCAAGATCTGCATCTTGGCTGGCGTCAGGCAAGTACACCCTGGTAGCACATAACATTGAAACTAGGGCCGTTTTTTGGGGGGCGGGCGATCGCCCGGAGCACCGCGCAAAGAAACGCAATAATAAGTTTTTTTATATATGGTTAGCGTGGAAGCAAATGCCTTGACTTAGCTTTGATTATTTACAAATGTAACAAAATGATTTCCATCGGTTCCGGCTCCTTGTCAGCTTCCGGAAATAAGGCCCTAATCGCCAGAGTTGCGGTGGTGCTTCGCATCGCAGTTGGTGAGGGGGGTGCCATTGGAACACCTTGCCCTGGCTGCCAATATGCCTAGAAACGGCCCTGATCGAATCAACATCGATTCAACGTTCGTTCAACGTCCGGATGTTGAATCAACATTGAATCGATGTTTCAATGTTACTTGATTAGGGCAGAGTATGTATTTTAAAAGTGACCTTAAGTTGTGATGGCCCAGCCTATGGCCGAGAATGGCATCGTTCTGTAGGCCTAACGCGCGAGGCCTACAAAGCTATGCCATTCTAGGTCATTGGCTGGGCCACCACAATTTTGGCACACTTCTAAAAGACACACCCTGTATGAACATACGAGACATAAACGTGTCGTAACCGGGAAAAAAAGGGTCACTTGCTGTTAACTTCGGTGGTGAGCACCATCATTCAGTATTTGAGCTCTTCTCATCCAAAGTTATACAGACCGTAAATTACAGAACTTTTGAGTTATTCTTCCCTTGTGATTATTTTTGATGAGTAGCAAGACTAGTGGCAAAGAGGAAAAAACGACGACAAGCAGATCGAGAGCTACAAAAAGTGAAGAATATTGATAGTTTTTTTTATGCTGGAGGAGCCTCAAGCTCTGATAATACTGCTATTTTCGAAACGGATTCCGAAGAACCGCAGGGTCAAGTCAAGAGTCAAGAGAGTTAGTGATATCAAGAGGCGATTTCGCCCATTTCGATATCACGTGTCGAGGTCGAGCGTTCCTTAATTTTAGGGTAGGCCTAACCCTCTTAAAGCTATATATATATATATTTTTTTTTTTTTTTTTTT